AAAAAAAAAAAGCTAAACCAAGTAACCAACACAAACCTAACAATGCCGTCTCATCCGTCCCTGAACAACAAACCCAAAACAACAAACTAAACCGCACAGGCAACAAGACTAATCTAAACCTACTAACAAAGCACACTAAACCCAAACCAACCCATATCTCAAATACCACAACGGCCAAGCTCGCCCGCCAAGTGATTCCTTCTATAGTAGTAACACGCCCACCACTAACCCAGCCAACTACACTACGCACTTTACCGAACCGATCTAAAATCTCACCCACCCCTGTCGCAGTTCGGCTTCGCTTAACTACCGGTGCATTAAGCCAAGCCAAGCCAAGCCAAGCCGAAGGAAGGAATCTTAATCCTAGTTATTATTGATGAGAAAATGTACCGACTACCGAGGCTATCTACCCCTGCAGTAGTAGTAGATATCGTATTTTGTGCTAGTGAATACGAGATAGGAAGGTAGTAGGTCATGTTGAGTTCGTACTAAATGCTTACTAACTTTGTTTCTCCTGCCCTGGAAATAGAAAGGAAAGTCAAATCGAGATAAGAGTGTCTCACTTGCATTGCATTCTTTCTTTTATTCGAGGAAACCTACTAGTCTAGTTATCTAGTAGAGAGGAATAAATAGTAGAGAGACTGACTACGGATCCAACAACCAGCCAATAGCCGGGTTCATGAGATGCCCATGAGTACAGAGCAAGCATAGCACAGCACAGCACAGCACAGCCTGAACTCTATGACAGAGTTTGGAACAAAAAGTCAATTAGCATCGGGTGAAATTGACCAGTTTGTCTTAGTGCAAAGTGCGTGTGTTAGTGTTTTGAGCAGATGCGAACATAAATTCGCCTGACTACGAAGTACTTACCCATTAAACTAGCATTTTTATGTTTCACCGGCTAGTTACCCTGGAGACTGGAAGGATGGATAGATAGATAGATGGATGAATGATAAATGCCGTTTAGATCTTCCGCGATGTGTGTTGAACTCGGAATCAGAATTGACTAGGATCATGCCATAAACAGGACGGAACATCGGACACTAGACTGGAATTGAGATAAGCCTTTGGGAGCGCATCGCCAAGGTTTCTTGGGAAATGTCTTGTCAGAGTTGGTTCAAAGGAACCACTAGTAATAGTGTTTTGGTGTGGGTTTGTAACCGACCCGACTACGACCCGCTCCGGCTTGGCAGAGTTTCGGACTTTCAGCTATAGCCATGGTGAATTTCAATCTTCTTTCAGGGGGACTTTGAGTGATCGGTGATTGCACAGCCTCGAATAAATAGGGAACATTGTGTCGTTAATACATCATTAGGTATGATTAAAGTAGGGTCATCAAAGCTATATACAAGAAACATAGGGAAATTTATACATGATGAGGTTCGTTTTCTCGTCCGAATCGGATTCGAGATGTTTGATCGGAAAGGGAGTGAGGGAGAATGGAATGAGGGGGGGCCGCAGCACCGACCACTACCACAACCAGGTGAAAACCTCGTGGCCGGCCGATCGCTAAAATCCTCCCCGGCCGAGAACGGGGGCGTGAGCCTGCTTCAGCTCCGTGCCTGAAGGTCCTTTCCAACAGAAGAATCGTGAAGGCTGAGTAGGCAGCTCGGTAGTCCATACATTACGTGTACTCTCGTCCCTAGTGGGACCGTAGATACAGTAGTGTAGTTGATTACCTACATCCGACGGCCGTGGCTGGACGGGTAGCGGTGACGGTGGAACTGATCTACCTTTCACTTGCTCAAAGTGATCGGAGACATTAATGGAACGTGGATGCGGCCCCCGCGTGGTTTGGATGATCGGGGCCCCAGTGGTGCCGAGAGACGTCACTGTGGCTCAGATACAGCGGGGTTGTTGGCAATTGCGCTGCACGAACTCTTCGCGATCGCTGGAGCCTGGAGGGGTTCAAATCCTGGAATCGAGGAAGGGGGGGGTTTGATTTCGTAAGGCTGTCGTTTGCGATTAAGGGGTCTTGCCTCCGCGACCAGGAGAGGAAAAGTGACTGACTCCTGGGAGGAACTCAAGGTCATAGCGACTGCTCGTCGGCTCGGTCGAGACGATCCATGGGAAATTCATGGCCTGATCAGTCTTTCTGGATGACAATCTCGGTCGTCTTTCTGATAATGAAGTCATCCTGTCCATTTCCATGAGCCCACTCTGTGTTGTCGCTACCAGTCGATGCGGTCGATTTGTTGGTGACATGTCCCACCCCACCCATTTCAATAATATTCTCTTCGCTTTCGGTGCGCGTGATTCCGTCCGCGCGTCCAGTCCGAGTATCGTAAATGGTAGGCATGTTGCGAGTCGACCGCGAATTCACCCCCGATTTCCATCGTGCATTCGAGGCGTGGTCGGTTCCGTATTGGGCTTCATTGTATCGGCCTTTGTTGGTGTATTGACTCGTTCGCAGGAAGGAAAGTGTCGATCTCGCGAGACTCCAGACGAATGGCAAGTTCGTCACGTACATGCCGATCGATGCCTCCCTAAGGTACCAGAATTGGTAGCTATCGTCGTAGATATTGTGGAATGTAAAGTATTTGGAAATGATGGCACAGGCGATCTGAGGGGCAGAAGATGCAGGTTAGCAACTAGTCTGGGGGCCAAAGCCGAACGGGGCAGGGACGCACCACGACAATACCCATGGAGAAGACCACGATCACGGGCAACTTAGTCTTCCACGGCATTTTTGCGCGAATGAACATGGGAAGTATGACGCAGAGAATGAAAATATCGGAACTGATGTTGAAGACACATTGCACCACTTCGTAGCGAAAGTAGGTGCTGCACTCCTTATGGGGTGGCGGGAGCGTCCAATATCCGGACAGGGGGCGACAATTCAGGAACAGCACCAGCTCTGTGGTGATCCAGCCGATTAGGGTGTATCCAGCGATAATTTTTACCAGGCGGTGCTGCCATAAGTTCGACCTTGGAAGTTTCCGTCAGCAGAAGCTCGGCGTTGACTCAGAGAGTGCACTTACGTGAGTCTGAAGTGCACCAACAGCATGCAAGCCTTGAGGGAATAGATGGTGCAGAGCTGGCACTGTATTGAAATTCATGTTAGACCAT